ATATCCAAAATTAATCCAGGGTCTCAGACACATCTATACTTTTGTCACTTACAGCATAGACAAACCTGAGCTAGGTTTTAAACAAACTGATACGAGTACTAGTTGCCATCCAGCCGCAGCAGTACAGAGCTCCCTGCAGCTAATTTACACTTAAGTTATTGACCTGTAGACATGCCCCCTGGAAGATGAGATCTAGATAGAGGACATGTTTCCTTAGATTTAAATAATGTTAGGAGAACATGGTCACCTTGTCTGACCTCACCACAGGTCAGAGAATCTCATCCAGTGATTTCTGCATTGAATCAATAACTTCAGGTTGAGCTATAAATGTCTGCTTTATTCCCAGAATGTATGAAGGAGAAGTCTGAATTCCTAAAATCAGGTCAGTGGGGCAAAAGATAAAAAGATGCTACTTTGGAAAAATGAAAAATAGCAACTCATGCAAAAAGAATTTGGAGAGCTGCACAAGAATGCTGGTTTGTTTACTTGTAGGGCTGCTGGGCTGGATATGCTGCGCTGCTATTGTAGGGCTGATCAGGAGGGTGAGGGTAGTGCTTTTTTTTAATGCACACTGAAGCACATACTTAAAATTGCAGAGATAACAAACTGCATGGACTTTGCAAATAGATTTAGAGGGGAAAAGAAGTGCCTTAGACCATAAACCTCGAAGCACAGTCAGCATCTACTTGAATGTTCAAGCAATGAGCCGGATCTGTGTACCTCTTGGCATAGCTCTTTGCATCAGCCTGAGATCTGGCCCAGAGTGTTTGTAAGTGTGAATATCAGTTTTCATGATCAAGCATGGAGCGATCTAGCTGTTTCCTATTAACACCCTCTGTCTGTCTCTCTCAGATTCATCTGAAAGGTACCAGCATCACATTATCACTTCAATGTGTGAAAGATATGGAAGCAAGAGCAGAAGTACTGCTACAGGCACAGCATCCTACTTTCTGCCAACCTAATGGTCTGGGGAAGCAGCACAGAGAAACCCAGAGAGGCTTTTGTGGCTCTGACAAAGTACAGCAATGGGACTGGGTCTCCGGAGCCTCATGTGGGAGTGGGTTCCCCTGTGCTCTCACATTCTGAAGAGTTTAGGGCCAAACAACTGATGCAAGAAGATGATAGGCACTTGAGGAGGAAGGGCCGAGCTGAGACTTAGCTGAAGGGACAAGTCACCTCAGTAACCAAATGAACCATTGGATGTGAGGGGAAATGTAGGCTGAGACAGGTGTCATTGCTGGCTTTTGCTGTCACGAAACATCCACATCACAAAACCCAATACAAACCTCAGCTTTTTTACAATTAAAATTAAGAATTTCCGGTCCATTGCATCCGAGTGACATAGAATCCAAGAGCCTTGAGCAGTAATTAAGCCCAATCCAGCTCCCAAGAACACATGACCTTGAGTTCACACAGTTCAGGTCAGAATGTGTGCTCAAAATACAGCAGCTAGCCCTACTGTATACCTGGTTTCCAGAACAGGGACAGAACATTCCCCTTAAGTTATACTGACACCTGCTGTTTTGGAAGAAATGGGATTGGATTGCATGCCTGCATTATCACTTGGATTATTAATTTTTTTCTGCTTTTGCTGCTAGAATGAGCTTCTGTATGAGGAAGGCAGTGCCATCCAACAGTGCTGTTCATCTCAACAAGTGGCACCTTAATGGTCAAGTGTTTGGAGGCTGGTCTTGAATCTTGAAAATGGTGCTATGGGTAAATAAAAGAGAACTGAAAACTTACTTTAAAAATTCCCTCATTGTCCAGGGACCTGGTTTTCAATTTGAGTAGTTGGAGTTGGTAACTCTGCATTTACTTAGACTGCATGCTTACAATATACCATATTTATACTGTGCTTGGTACAATAGGACCATGCTAGTTACACAAACAATACTTTTAACCCCAATACAGTTTTGATTTAAACCCTAAGACCCAGAAAACAAAACTGACCGGAAACAGAAAATGAAGCTATATACAATCATCAAACTGTTGCAGTTTCCAAGGCATTTCCTGTTTATTCACACACAGGCTCCCATCAAAATAAACAAAAAAGTGTACAGAAGCAAATGAAATTGATGAAAAAGGTAAATAAACATCTATAATCCAAACAGGTTAAAATGTAGAAATTGCAGCATTATGAGGGAAATGACAAAACAGTTAATGGAATGTGTTTTTACAAGTGCCACAGTACACATGTGTTTACTTATGGAATGAACAGATGTGCACGCCTGTGATAAAAGCAATGGACTTCTGCAAAGGTTGTTCGTGTGAGGGTGACAAAATAATGATTAATTTTGTGCACCACGCCCACAGCTTTTCTAATTCAGATAGCGCAAAATTCTGCCTCCATTCCTCATGTGGAGCAGCACTTAACTCTTACTAGTCTCACTGTAATTACAGCAGCGCAGGCTTAAAAGGCAGGAAGAAATCAACACAACTAAATCCCAGCCTGGGTTTCATGGATCTGAAGGTCAGAAAGGACCATTATCATAGATCTTATCTGACATCTTAAACTCCCAGAAGCAGCCTGGCAGAATGCAGGTAGGGAACAGCTAGTATGCCAAGTACACATTCTGAACGAAACCTTCTCTACACTCCATACCATGGCTATGTTAAGAGGTGATGAGTAGAGGGTGCACGTGTATCTGCTGAGCGTGGCAGTGCACCCCCTACAAAAAGGCACTGCTGACACTGCCAGCAGTGACCGCAACTGGTCGTTGCCCCTAGGTCAGCGCTCGGCATCCCGCGGCCGAAAGTGTGGGTGGCATCTGCCCCTTACTGCTGCCACGCTCCTGCCATCGCTGTTCCCCTGCAGCCACCAGGCAGGGTTCATGTGTCGTTCATGGCTGTGTTGAATCTTGAGTAAGGATTCCTACAATTACAATACAATCCCAAAGTTGTTGTCACCAGATCAACAAAGCTAGACTCAAACCTCAGACCAACCTACTACAATACCAACCCCATGAGAAGGACAACAGAATCCCTCTGGCTGTCAGCACAGCCCCCAGATCAAACCTCAGACTCCATAATGGATGAATGATCAATTATGGAGCAATCTAGCTGTTTCCCCACTAACAAGCCCTCTCTCCTCCCTTCCTGCCTTTTGTATTCTAATTAGTCTCATTTTATACACTACTCTGTACATGTCCTTTATGAGTTTGGGCTCATGAAAGCTTATGGTATATCTCTCTGATTTAGTTACTCTGTAAGGTGCAAATCTACCCTGCCTTATGCTCGCAAAACCACTGGTGGAGACAACTGTTCCAGCTACTGCTTAGGGAAGCGGGTGCAATTCTGGCAGCAGAAAAATTCCTACTGGAAATGTTAAATCCAGAACAGGGGCGTGGCCACCATACAGCTGCAACCACAATTAAGGTCCCATAAATCCTGGTAGGTAAACTAAATCACAGACAACTGCTAAGGGCAGGAGTCAAGTTCATGGTACATAGTTGTGTTTGGGTTCAAGTGTCTACACCATGGCTCCCTGAGCTCCTTAGTCACTAGTGGCTAGGCTGACAGAGAAATATTTTCACTTACAAACTGAGCAAATTAGATCTAGAAACAGAGGAAGCGAGGAAAGTCCAGATTCAACAAAGTGCATATGCACTTTGAGCACATGCTTCACTGAATCGGCTTGAATTATGGAAACTTGTTGCATCTTTGCTTAAAACACACACACACACTTTTCAAATGTAACTGCTCTGTAAACCACCAATCCCTTTCCCAGAAGAGTCCTACAACTCAAAACCAAAATATACTTCCCAGGAAACCCAGCATGAGAATGGCTGTTATTCCATGGAATTGAATGTACTGCCTAAGAATTCATTAGCATTCTCCTTTTTTATTACAAAAAGCTGCCTCTTCCAAATCAGACTCCCAATCCAAAGCCAGTAAATGAGCAAATAAATAATCCCATTTTGGACATTGAATACTTACAGTACAAAAGACAAAAGTCACTCCCAGAGTGAACTTTTTTAAATAAGGTGCACATCTTTAAATAGGGTGAATATTTTTAAACCAGAGCCCCAATTTGCAACTGGATATGTACCTGTGTGCACAAAAGGGGCCCCTCTCACATATCAAATAGCAGGATTTGGCAGTATTTACACTACACACAGGCATCTTTTCTTCAAATAGTTCAGTGCAACTTTAAGTACAAGTGCTTTAAGCCATTTAGTCACTCAATTCTAACAGATTTAACTGAGCCAACTAAAGCTACATGAAAGAAGGGAAAAGCTTCCCCCAGATATTTCACATACAATATTTACAGCTTTGTTGCAAGTCATTTTACCTGTCCCAAAAATTGTTTGATACAAAACAGCTGTCTTCTCATTGGCATGCATGGGGAAATATTCTTTACATCATCCAGGTGCGGCTATTGTTGAAGCAGTTTTGCAATGTCCACTGTTTGAGGTTTTGGCTGAAAACTATGGATCACAATTTTATTGTTAATATTTTACTCAGACTTGGAAAATATTTGAGGGTATTTGTAAGAGGATTTCTTATTTCCTCACTTTCAGTTGCAAAATTCTTCTGATTCACCCTGAGTGTAAGTATAAGGATCCAGATTAAGGATACAGCGATATTCTCCTGAGTCACCCTGACAGCCAGACCAAGTTGGATTCAGTTAGCTTAATGCAAGGGAATAAAAATTTGAAGGATTTTTTTTAATAATCTTAGACTATCCAGCCTCACTAGGAAGAGCCTTTTCTGCAGTTTATATTCAGTGTTAGATTCCACAGTACAGAAACACCTGATTGTGTGAGCACATACACATGTGCTCAGTTAGCAGCAGGAAAGGAAAATCATATATAGAGAGTTATGATTTCCCACTTCTTTCTGGCAGATCTTCTCAGCCACTCTCCATCCATGTATTGCTCTTTCTTTATTAAAAAAATGAGAAGTGCAATCTTGAGTCTTGCCTCATTAAATTCTCTTCAACATCCTTGGCTATTGCATTGTTCCACAACCTAAAACAACAGTAAGTGTATGATAGGTTAGAAATGCTTCACAAATCATTTTTCCTGATGTCATGTAACAGCTCAGAATTGTCAGATCACAGAGGTTGTGGTAGAGAAGGCCTGAATTACCATTAAGCATTCTCAGTGGTGAGAGGTGATTAAGACACAGAGGCAGAGCAGTAGCTGATGTTGGGGAATATGGTGGCTTATTACCTATCAGTGAGTGTGAGTTATCTACCTTACGAGAAAGATTAAAGATTCAAATGACAAGAGTCCACTAGGATATCTGAAGCTGGAAGAGAAGCTGATCTAATACAGAAAAATACTTACAATAAATGGGAGAAAAGCAGGGATGCATAAGACCTAGAGCCAAGAGGCACAGCAAGAAGTTAGAACTTTGCTTGCAGTAACGTGGACTAATACAATGACTTCTTCAAAGACATCATTCTATAGGACAAGGAAGCAGCTGTGGTGTAACTGCATGCAACACTGTGCTCAGTTCTGGGTCCCTCCTTACTGGAAAGATGTCAGCAAGGAGTTCTGATTAAAGGAAGTAAAATCATCTGGGTGGCCTGGAAAAAATTTAAATGGCGCTCAATTGGGAGAGTTCAGCTAAACAATGCCTCAAGCTGGGGAAACATGAGCAGTGAAAAGATGTAGGCATCAAGATTGAGTAGAAGATCTGGGAGTATAACTAGGGGTAATGAGAGAGAGAGAGAGAGAGAGAGAGAAAAATGTGTAATGGAATATGACTGTGTCATACTAGGATAAGCTTCCCACCAGTGAGATACAGGGCTCTCCAGAGGGCAGAAGCCCCATAATTTGCTCCATTTGAAATAAGAGCAATAGAAAATGTGCAGTAGGCAAAATCTTATTCTGGGTGAAAGGATGGATTAGATGGGACCTGCTGAATCTTGTCAACTATTTATTTCCATCACTTGTTCTGGAAAGGGGTAGCTTGACTAAGCAGTAGTGTCTGGGAAGCCCACCATATCTTCCTTTTTAGAGGGGGCACTGATTAGCATTTCAATCTACTTCAGCTTGCCTGATACTGATCACATCAATCTCAGAAGCACTGCCTTGCAGATGGGCTACCTCCCGGTGTGACTGGAATCCCTGGTGCCACCTGGCCTGGGCATTTACTCACCGTATGACTTGAATTCCATAGCACTTGGTGAGTTCCTCTGCCAGCCTACTGGCACCATGGGCTGAGATGCGGTTCTTGTCCAGACTTTCAGAAACAAAGAGAGCGTTACAGATGAGTTTCATAACAGAACAAGAAAAGTGGCAAAAACTTCTCAAAGTCTCTTTTCTCCCCCAACCTCCTTGGGAAAAGGTTCAATGTCTGCTATGTACTGTGGGAAGCCACTCTCCATAATTCACTTGTCAGATTCAGGCTTTTTTCCTTCATCATTATTTACAAAAGGAAAATGCTGATGCATTCTCCACAACAACCTCCAGAGATTCATAGGTTATTAGGGGCTGGAAGGGACCTCGCAGATCATCAGGTCCAGCCCCCCTGCTCTAGGCAGGAAGATAACTGGGGTTAGGTGACCCCAGCAAGATAACGGTCTAGAGTCCTCTTGAAAACCTCCAGGGTAGATGACTGCACCACCTCTGGACAGAGTTTATTCCACAGTCTGGACACCCTGACTGTGAAGAAGTTTTTCCTGGTATTAAGCCTGAAGCAGCCTTCCAGGAGTTTGTATCCATTGGTCCTGGTCTTCCCCAAGGGTGCCCGAGTGAACAGTTGTTCTGATCTGCAATCAGATCCATTAGTATGAACTCCGGCACATAAACAGTCTCACTGGGTACCATCCAGTCAGAGAAAACTGGAACCTCAGAAAAGAGACCATTAGCCTGCCCTGAGACAGGATCAACTATATCTAAACCATTCCTGACAAATATTAATCTAACCTGTTCTTAGGAACCTCCAGAGCTGGTACCTCTGGAGACTTATTAAGCAGATTTATTTAATTCATTAGATCCTGTGACCAGATCAGGGTCAAAGATAGTTAGGAATAGACCACCTCCTCCTCAAAATACAACTTTCCTGCTAGTGCCTGAAAAACAGCTAGTAAAACTGACCTAGTTTTCTTGCTGAAGTTGGGTGGCATAGAAAAAAAAAAAAGAGCAAAAAATTCAATAATGAAAATTAGCTTTAACTATCTATTCCTAGACAAAAAGCTCAAGAAAGCTCCTAGTTCATCAAAATATGTTCTCACTCTCTTCTTATCATAAATTTTAATTTTACCTAAAAGTCAACAGATATTTCTTTAGTGCATATAATGATGTATTTTCTGGCAGTACATTACTGACTATGACATCTCCCTGCACGGTGTCATGTTCTAGGCAAGGTTTGCTCCATGGTACACAAGACAGGAACTCCAGCTGTGTGGAAGTCTGCTTGTGTCTACAGTTTGTAGCAATTTCAACAAATGTCTCCTATTTAAAAGCTGTGATTCCATGCTCAGAGAGTTCAGTAATTAAAATTCTCCTTGGGTTACTTTTGATAATACTCACTCCAGTATCCTCAGCTTTGTCATTCCTGGGAGAATCTCAGCCAACTCGAAGGCACTGTCATCACCCAGGTGGTTCCAAGACAATCTAAACAAACAAAAAAAAGGATGAATTGGTCTGGCAAGGCAAGTGAAAGTATAAACACAAGAGAGGCAGCTTTGGTGTGGCCTCCTTCACATTTAGGAGACCTGTGGCAGGTCACTGGAGCTGGCAGCTGCCAGGTGCCTGATTAGGGCGGCCATTTTGGGATCTGGGGCTGCCCATATAAACAGGGCAGCTTGGCTGCTGGAGGCTAGGCAACAACTTCACCTGGCTGGAGAGCTGCTGATATCATCTGGAGGTCAGGGAGGAGCTGTAGGGGATGGTCAGGAGGCTTCTGGTCCTGGGTATGACCTAAAACTGCACCTTGCTAGGAGGGTGTGGCCTGGTGGGGCTCTCAGTGGCATGGCAGGAGCCCCCAGGAAAGGACAGGCCAGTTACCACCCCGGTGAAAGGTGGGTCGGGGCGCCTTAACCCCAGCCCCCACCGCCGGGTGGATTACCCCTTGTTTTGGAGGGTCCAGAGGGTGGACCCTCAGAAAGAGGAAAGGGCTATTAACTCAGGACCTGTCTGAGTTTCCCCTGACTGGCCCATGCTGGGGCCAGGACTGGAAGGGTCGAAGGGCCAGGGGCCCACTGCGTGGGATGCACAAGAGCTGAGGGCCTGGGGTCCCAACTGGCCTGGAGGTGGGCCAGGGCTAGATGAGCCAAAGGTCTTGGTGGGGGAAGCACACTCAAAGGGGAACCAGCTCAGGGAACTATAGTGCCCGGTATGATGGTGGAACAGTCCGCTTGAAGGGAGGAATCCAGGTGGGGTTCAACAGTAGGGTTCTGGGGCCCAGTGTGGGGGCCAATGATTAAAGGAACATCTAGATGCCACCTGCGAGGCCTGGGCTGCGGTGTACGGGAGGAAAGGAGCTGCAGATAGCGCCCCCTGGCATCGGGGCATGAAATGGGCAACCTCCCGCTTAATTAACATCGATTAATTAATTATACCATCAAGGCATGGCAGGAGAGAAGGTGGGTGGTTAGCCCAGGAACAGGTGGGTGGGCCGCAGGGAAAGCGGCCCCAAGAAGGTCCCCTGTTACAAGACCCCAGAGAAAACCACAAGATATTTGCTTATTTCCTGTATTTAGTTTATTGCACCTTCACCATAAAGGAAAGTGTTCCCTGGTTAAAGCCCAAGGAGACTTTATCTGTTCTCTGGCTATGTCTACACAAGACGCTGACTGCACAGTAGCTCATTACTACTGTGCAGTAATGTCGCATGGCACAAAATGTGATGCAACGCTCTTGTGCAGTCATAACAAGCTCCTGCGCAGTCAGCATCACCAAAAAACGATTTGGGGATGCTACCATGCAGTAACTCTGGTCACCGTGCAGTCATTTAGTGCTTGTGTATGCAAGTACTAAATGACTGCGCAGTAACAGCTGTGCAGTCATCATCTCATGTACATGCAGCCTCTGGTTGACACCTTTAACCTTGGACAACTGCATCATGGCCACTGTATGTTTTTATGAAAGACACGACTCCAAAAATTACCATGCTGGGGGCCTGATACTACATCTGAAGTACTGAATGCCCAGGGAGAGAAAGATTAAGAACATGGGAATCAAATCAAGATTAGGGCTCAATCTACTTATAGCACTGAAGTATCAGGGTAGACTGTAGCTAAAGGAACCTACAAATATACTTGTAAAATCTCCCCTGTACTCTCAGCTCTGTGGAACAGGATTTCATCTGACATTTCAGGAGGAAATTTAAAATAGGTTGAGTTTTTCTGAATGGAAGGGGCTTTGTTTCCAATTCTGGGACACCAGCTGAATGGGATGACTTTGCAAACACTGTGCCAGGCTTACTCACCACCCTAGAAGCAAACATGTCATGGGTCAGTTTGTGCTTTCTAATCTGACTAGTTACTCAGTCACTCCCATGATTTCCTTACCATGGGCACTAGGTGTGTCAGAATTTCTCTCTTACATTTATATAAAAAAAAAGAAGAATAGAATCGTTTTCCATGGATAGGGCCCTATAATCCAATAAGCCATATAGGGAAGTCACAAGTATCATTACCTTGCAAACTGGAACCACATTTCCCAGGGACAGAAGTGATAGCTGTCAGGTGTCACAGTGAAAGGCTGCCCCCAGGCTGCTCAGATGTAAATGGACATGAGGTCATTCAGGCAGCTGGATGTAATGCTAACCCCATCAGTTCCTGATGTACTGTTGGTTACAGAAATTTCCATGCCTTAAGCATGCTAACCCAAAGAGCCTTCTTGGCTGAAGCAGGCTGTGACTAACTAATGCCAATTCCAAGGGGCCCAGAGGAACATTATAGTTTCATATCTGCTGACCTGAACTGGCATTCAGGTTTAGCAGAAATTAATAGGCACTGTCACCATGAGGCTGGCAAGTGCTTTGTAGAGAAAGAAAGATATGTTAAGACACTGATGTGCTCTACATACTCATTCTCTATACTTACATAATCTCTTCAATGAAGGGACACTGACTGAAGCCGAAAGCAAGGGGCTTGGAAACACCATCACCAATTTCACAGAGCTTCAATCTAAAGGGAAAAGCATTACTAGTAAATATAAACTGAAGAGTCAGCAGATGTGATTGGAACATAGTTTGTTATGTGGGGGGGGGGGTCAGTGACAGCATTATTATATCTAGATGTGTCTTTGAATTATTGAGTGTCTTGGTCTGACCCCGTTGATGGAGGAGGCCAAGTGCCTCCTTTGTCCTCCCCCACACCCACGGCCTTTCTTGATATCAAGTATAAATTAAAGCAGCTGCAGGCTGCAACCACTGGGCCAAATCTGTGGCTGACATAAAAGGAGGTATTTCTACTGAAGTCCATGCTAGCTGAGAATCTGACCCCATTGGCTGTATAATCTCCTGCAGTCTCCTCCTAGAAGTGCTACAAACTGAAAACCAGCCATGGAATGAACCTGACAGAGTCCACAGAATCCTCAACTTACTCGATCCTCCTGAGCTGTGGGAAGTGTAGAAGCCCCTCTGAGAGAGCGTGGGTGCCTTCTTCACCAATGTTGTTTTCTGACAGACTGCAAGGACAATTGACATGCTTTGAGTGGCTACCAAAAGCTACAATCAGGGCTGAGTCACAGTTAGAAAGCAACCATGTCCCTTAGGGAATAGCAACCAGCCCCAGGGTTGAGAAGACTATACAAGAAAAGTGACCGTCCAGTGATTGGGGAACCAGTTTGGGACTTGAGAAACTCAGATTCAGTTCCCTCCTCTGCTACAGACACCAAGTGTCATCTTAGCTTCTCCGACACTCAGTGTTGGAAAGTACCACACTGCGCTACCTCACTGTGGATTGTGAGGATAAATATATTAGAATGATGTCAAGATACTCATGTACTACCATAACAGAAGATCATATTAGCATGGAAAATGCAGTGATGCTGTTTTCTATAATGAAGCAATAGTTCAGTCTATCCTTTTGTTTGCAATTGGGGATAATACATCCTATTACACTCTGTGATTGGTTTATTTGCTTCTGAACCTTGCTTTTTGGAAGTCTCATAGCTGATAGCTCAAAATGTAGCCTGAGGCTAAAGGTAAGTGCATTCTCACTCTTACCAGTAGATGGACCCAACCTGTTGTATTAACAAGCATCAAACCAGGTGAAGTGAGGTAATATCTTTAATTGGACCAACTTGCAGTTAACGGCTACAAACCAAGCCATTAATTATAAGTGGGTCCACAAACTTTGCTTCTTGCATATTCTCTGGACCATCACGGCTACATCAATGCTACAACATGTTTTCTAACAACACATGCATGACATCATAGTGATTTCACCTCTCAAATATCTTTTAAGTCCCACAGTTACCTATGTTCTACTTAAATGTGGTGTCCCTTTCAGCTATTTTACTGAAAATTATATCAGAAATAAAGACACTGAGACTACAGAATGAGTACTTAACCATAAAGGAAAGAAGCCCAAAGCATTCTCAGTTTACTGCATGCACGTGTATTTGAGTGTGTGTGTGTGGGGTGGGGGAGAAGGAAGGGAGCCAAGACATTCACTGTGGAGTAGACTAACTAGCTCTGCAGTAAATGTCTTGCATCTACATGTGCAGGGCTATTAGGTTCCAGGAAACTGATAAACTCCACAGCAGGGTAGTACTTGTAAATACAAGTACTATCCTACAACAGGGTCATTTATAGCACAGCAGTGCACATATAGACACTGATCCAGGAGTAAATGGCTCCCAGCCAGCCCAGCCAGCAGGGGGCCACACTCCTGCCTGCTGCCTAGTTACATGGCTCAGCAGCTGCAGGAGCCTTGAGGCCCAGTCAGATCCTCCACTGGCCAACACAGCCACCTGCTGCCTGAACCTGGCTCACCCCCACGCCCGCCACCTGTGCCCTCACACCTGGGCAGCTGCAGCTGGAGCCTGGTGCTCCCCTTGGCTGCTGCAGGGGGGCAGAGCATGGCAGGAGCAGCCCTGGCCTAAACTGCTCCTCCCTGGTTCAGTTTGCTGCTGTCTAGGGCAGTGGTTCTCAACCTTTTTTGTACCAGGATTCATTTGTAAACATTGGTAGCCAGTCCTGACCCAGTGCCCCTCACTCCCAACCTGCTGCCCCCTGCCCCCAGGCCTCAGCACCCCAAATGTGTGGGGCAGCAGGGGGGTATATGGGGGGCCCCAAGCAGCCTCTTGCAGGCTGGAAGTATGCCAGCCTGCAAGGGAAAAGCCAGCTTTTAATTTTTTTTTCCTTTAAAAGAGAATCCATTTTTTTAAAGTTTGTTGATCCATTTTTTAAGTTTGTTCACGACCCTTTCATATATTTCTGACAGGGGGCCAGGAGAAGGCCAGGTCTCAACATTGGCTCACTCACCTGTTTATGTGGGGCAGTCCGCCCAATCTCGCCTGCCACAACTTGCTGTTTGATAACTGGTGTAAAATGTGGGAGGCTGCTCCTTTTAATGCCCCGATGCCAGGGGGGCATTGTACCCAGCTCCATACCATCCCTACACTGTGGCCCATGCCTCGCAGATGGAGTCATAAGTAGATCATAACTCCAGCCTGAGTTCTGCCTCTCCCATTCCACTCTCACACTCTGCTCCCTTTCACAGGGCCTCATTCACTCCGCCCACTCTCACAGGGCCTCTTACACACTGCCCTTCACTAAGTCACTCTCAACCCACCCTGCTTCTCTTGAGTGACCCCCCCTGAGCCATCAGGCTTACCTAGTCTCACGCTGGTCAGTGCACAGGCAACACCTTTGGGTTGCTCAAGCTTCACTACTCTACGAGGCACTGACCTTATGCCCTGCCCTGAGTGGAAGTCAGCCTCTAGCCCCTCACTGGGCAACTTGCTCCTATTTTCACTCACATGGGGGTTGGCCCATATGGTGTCATTCAGGTCACCCCATGCAATCCTACTCTGTACCCACCAATGCCCAGTCCACCAGATGCCACCGTGCACCCTACTCTGGGTAGGCCACACAACTTCTGTCCCATTCACTGGGACCATTCTCTTCCTCTGCCCCCTCTCTGGGGCCTTCAGGGTCTTACACCCCTGTGGGGCTCAGGTGCCTCTCTCTAGGCATGCCTGCCCCTTCCACCCCCGTTCCCATTCCTAGTTACCCACTGAGTAGTGGGGGCTGGGGTTATAAGGTGCCCCTACCCACCTTTCACTGGGGAGGCAACTGGCCTGGCATTTCTGGGGAACTGCCCTGCCACAGGCAGTCCCACCAGGCCATCCTTCCCCAGCAGGGCACAGTTTCAAGTCATACCCAGGGCCAGGAGCCTCCTGCCATCCCAATAGCTCCTGCCCTTACCTCCAAGATGTTCCAAGCAGCAGCTCAGCCAGGTGTTGTTGTTCTGGCTGCCAGTAACAAACTGCTGCCTCAGTCCTGAGAGCCTGGATCTAAAATGGAGGCAGCTCAGCCCTCTCCTCCTATCCCAGGGTGCTCCTGCAGTCATGTGACTGCCTCATTAGGGCTAGCCCACACCTGTAGACTGCCTTGCTGCCTGCTCACAAACCTTAAAGTGGCAGGCACCAAAGGTGCCCTGCCACAATATTCTTGCGACCCACTTTTGGGTCACGACCCATTGGTTGAGAAATGCTGACCTAGAGTGCATGTGTAGACACTGGGCCTGGGAGTAGTTTACTGTAGAACAAATTGCTCCACAGTGTATTCAGTCACAATATCTGCACATGTAGACGCACCTATGGTGTGCCCCTTTTGTGTCTTAGCTAGATGAGGTGGTGCTTAATAACTGTGGGTGAATTTTTTTACCAGAGACTTTTTTCCTGAAAAAATGCAAATCTGTGTTGTTCAAAATCTTTCATGTCAATTCTTGTCAAATTTACTGACTTGTTTTGGTCAAAACTGAAACATTTCTTAGGAGTCAAAACTGTTTTTTTTCAAGATTTCTAAAATGAAACACTTTCCTTTTTGTTTAAAACAATGCTTTGTTTCAAAATTTGTTTTGCTTTCATTGAAACTAAAACAAAAATGCTCAAAAGTTAAACAATAGAAGAGCATTGTTTGACCCAAAATGATTCATAAAAAATTCAGGATATTATTTCATTTCATATCAATCTGAAATCATATTTTTCAACGTTATGGTTCTATAAAATGACCCCCCAAAATTGTTTTTTCACAAAACTCTAGAGGTTAAAGAAAAGAAGCCTGATACTGGTGTTACAAAACAAGGAAAATACAGGGAAATCTTTCTGCTGCTTTTTGCTCCCCATTTTCAGCCAGGGTTCATAAAAGCACTGTGCATTTTCCCATGGGCAAAATCCTGACCTTGTAACCACTGAGAATGTTGCCATTGACTGCAACCGAACAGTCTATAGCTAAGTGGAAATTGTACAAATTCATGTTGCTGCATACAGTTGTTTGTAAACTTTGCATTAGAGAAAAATCCATATATAATGCACACAGATGAAGATGTATCAAGTCATAGTTCTTAAAGCATCTAGGTGTTCCAGGCAGCTCTTACCTTATCTCCTCTAACTGCTGACATTTAACCAGGGCTCTGGCCATCTGAGTCCCCCCAAGTGAACTGATGCCATTGGACTGCAGGCTGGTGGAAGAAGACATTCAGGCACAAGCTTTTAAAAAAAATAGCTAATACTTTTATATTAGCTGCTTCTCTTGAGCTGGTATTCAAATTGAACTGCAAACTTGTTATTTTTACATCTTTTACACTTCAGCTGCTATAAGGAACAATGGGTTTTTGAATACTGCAACCAATCAATGGAACAACAGTAATCAGAGATGTGAGATTATATTCATACTAGCCTGCACTCATACATATTGTGTATACTCATAATAACAACTCACACATGCATATTATATAACAACTCACACATACATATTGTGCTTACACTCGCCTAACTATACCCACAGTTAACACTGGGACTCGATGGCAAAACCTCTAGAGGAGTTTAATGGGCCCAAAATTTCATCTGTAACCCTATCCAGGGTGGACATGCTATGTGGTAACTATGCTATTTAACAAAGCTGTCATCACTTAACAGAAAGATTTACTCTTTGTTAATAAAATGATGAACCAAGAGTCTGCCGGCATTGTAAGAAGTCACATGCTCAGGAAATGTAAAGCTGCCTTGACATAGTGTACCAGACCTCTGCCCAGGTCAGAGGGATTAGTCTAAGTCAGGGGCAGGCAACGTTTTTTGGCTGGAGTGCTGAAAAAACCCACAATGCCTACCTTGGAAGGTGCCGGAGTGCCAGCATGCCACAAAAACAAAATGAGGGCAGGGGGTACATGGCAGGATGCCCTGCTCGTGCCCCTTGCCCCCCACCCAAAGTCCCTGCCCGCCCCAGCCCTGGCCCCGGCCGCCTCCCCAGTGGGCGCCGCACTTCAAGAGGGATGTAGATAACCTGGAAAGGGTTCAGAGGAGGACCACACGTCTGGTTAAAGGCCTACAGGAAAAACCCTATGAGGACCAATTGATGGACCTGAATCTCTTCAGCCTCTTCAAGAGAAGGCTGAGAGGTGATCTTGTGACCGTCTACAAACTCATCAGGGTGGGGACAGCAGGAAATAGGAGATACGATGTTTACCAGGGCACCCACCAGGGTAACTAGAAACAATGGCCACAAACTGAAGGAGAGCACATTTAGATTGAACATCAGAAAAAAATTCTTTACGGTGAGGGTTGCCAAAATATGGACCCCCACACTCTTTGGGGTCATTTGACCCCAGCACTCATTCCTGCCCAGGGCATGGGGTCAGACTCAATGATCTAATAGGTCCCTTCCGACCCTAAAATCTATGAAATCTGAGTCATCACAGTCAGTCTCATGCAACTGCATTGTATAATCCTGTTCATTATCTGATCAAGCCTTATCGTAAATTTTTCTGTGACTTTTGTCCAAAACTACTCCTATCAGAAGACCATTCCAGATCCTCACTCCTCTCATAGTTAAAAACCTCCTTCTGATTTCAAGCCTAAATGTAGTCATGGTCTGAATATATTCATGGCCAATTTATAAGCATTTTTTCCTGTGCCAACAACATCGTTTAGCTAAAACAGCTTTCCTCCCTCCCTGCTGTTTACCCCTCTGATGTAGTTATAGACAATAATCTTACTCCCACTCAGCATTTGTCTGGCTAGGCTAAACAAACCAAGCCGTTTCAGTCCCTCAGTCCCCCCCTATTTGCCTGCTTTGGCACAGCATGGCACTATTCTATTGACTAGAGGTTTGGAAAGATTTCTATACAAGGTTTAAGAAAACAGCACTGTTTAGTTAATGAGTAGAGATGACTAAGAGGAAAAAATGAAGTGCCATATGCTGCTTTTATACTCCCGTATCACGGTAGAACAAGAGGACTTCCAGTGGCATTAAAAGAAAACATATTCAAAACTGTTTACAGGATTATTTTAATTCAGTTGCAATTAATCTGTGGAATTCATTGTCACAGGATATTTCTGAATCCAAGAAGGAAAGAAGAAAGGACAGGACATTAATTATAGATTCACATATGTTAATGAATAATCATGAAATCATGTTAGGTTGCACTGGGGGGGGGGGGGGGGGGTT